ACGTATTTGAAAATTGTATACTATATAATAACTATATATATTATACTATATATTATATATTATAACTATATGTAATTACAATAAATTTATTATATTGTCTATATTTTTAAAAATGAAGATTTATGAAGATAGTGTTATACAAATACGAAAAAAAATTATAATAAATAAAGAACAACACCAAGCTTGATTCATTACATGTATGTACTCGTGTATTTATTTATTAGTGAAATATAACAAATATGATCAGACATTGTCGACAACTAGACTGCGGATTTTATGCGTTTATGAAAACAATAAATATGTTGAATATAAAATTGTGTTGACATAAGAACGATTCAAGAGTATTGTGAAATGATTTTCAACTTGTTACAATTATTAAAGGTATAATGCCATTTTTATTGTTTTATGTTCGTTAGAATTAACTTAGAGAATTTTTATTTTCCATAAAAATCCGCAGTCCATTGTTAACGTTATAAATAAATTTCACGATTTATCTCTGACACTAGCTTTTCTTAGGAATGTAAAATAAAATACGTGAGAAAATGTATTCGATTACGAAAAATTTATCATTTTTGTTTCGCGACCCTGTTTTATTTTCCGTATCCGGTTTACCGACGTACCAATTGTAAACACATTTTATTGTGGATAGTTCTGTAGTTATAAATAGCTTTATTTTCTCTCTGTGAAACTAGTCAATACATCTGCATATTTCGGAATAAATCTGAATGTATGAAATCGAATTCACCAAATTCTTGAAATGGTTTCGATATATAAAGTGACGTACTAAATTTATTTCTTCAGAAATTGGAGAACAATATCGATGGCGACGTTACTGTTCGTCTGATTACACTTGTGTAATATGTATGAAACATCGAGTACTATGAACAATGATATTTGCATGTATACGATAATTAATTAAAAGTAATGAAAAAACCTAATTATGTATATGCACAATAATTAGGCTGCGGATTTTATGTATTTATGACAAGAATGAGAAGATGAACTAGCAAAAACGTTTAAACAATTTGAAACTGTTAACTTATTAAGAAAAAAAAAACGACTATGTAATTCTTGCATTTATTACAATT